ATCGCGGCGTACCGTACCCGTGGGGGCCGCCGCGGCAAACGCCAGACAGCCTGTCAGTCTCAAGGCAGAAGCTGTGAGGCATGTAACCCGATCTGGGTGGTCCTCGAGTGAGGGCGGCGGATGTGAGGCAGAACACACGATACATAATGCCGCATGGTTCGCTGTTCAGTCTCCTTTGTTGGGCCCTTCTCACCCGTTTGCATACTCCGTTTGCCCACGCCGATCAAACGTGCTCTTGACAGCTCAAGCCTTCCTCCCCCCGTTGACCAGACGGCTCACGCCACACCTTCACGATGAAGTTCATCACCTTCCTTGCGGGCCTCTTGGCCGCCGTGGCCCAAGTACAGGCCGCGGCCGTCATCGCCCACTTCATGGTACTGCTGATCACCACCCTTCCCCGTCTCCGTTTGATGATCATGATCGCCCTAACAATCCCTTGCAGCTCATAAACACCAAGAATTACACCATGAGCGACTTTGAGGATGACTTCAAGCTCGCCAAGGAGGCTCACATCGACGCCTTCGCGCTCAATATGGGCATGACGGACCCCCACACCGCCGAAGCCCTCGACGTCGCCTTCACTGCCGCCGCCAAGGTTGGCTTCCACCTCCTCTTCTCCTTCGACTACATGGGCGGCGAGCATGGCGGTGCCCCGTGGCCCGTGGAGACCATCCTCGAGATGGGAGACACGTACTTCCAGCGCGAGGAGTACCTCAAGTACGGCGGCAAGCCCGTGGCTTCGACGTTCGAGGGCACCGAGAACGCCGAGGACTGGGTCGAGATCAAGGACAAGACTGGTGCCTTCTTCATCCCTGACTGGTCGTCTGTCTCTCCCGAGGAGGCCCTCAGTCTTGCGGGTGGCGTCGCCGATGGTTTGTTCAGTTGGAACGCATGGCCTATCGGAAGCACCAATATGGACACCAAGGGTGACGCTGCCTATGTCTGGGCTCTCCAGGGGAAGCCCTACATGATGCCCGTCTCCCCGTGGTTCTATACCAACCTTCCTGGATACAAGAAGAACTGGGTTTGGCGTGGCGATGATCTCTGGTATGACCGCTGGAAGCAGGTCTTGGACATGCAGCCTGAGTATTAATCCCCCTTTCCCGTGATTTCACGACCACGACACTAACACACAATAGCTTCGTCCAAATCATCTCATGGAACGACTACGGAGAGTCCCACCACATCGGCCCCGTCCGCTCCAACGCTCTCGAGGCCTTCTCCGTCGGCGAGGCCCCTTTCAACTACGCCCTTGACCATCCCCACGATGGCTGGCGCCACTTCCTCCCCTACCTCATCGATACCTACAAGCGTGCCATCCCCGCCTCCATCACCGAGGAGGGCTTCATGGCATGGTACCGCGGCTCGCCCGCTCTCGCCTGCGCCGACGGCGGCACGGTCGGCAACTCCATCACCCAGGCGCAGAAAACCATGGCCGTGTCCCAGGTCGTGCAGGACCGGATCTTCTTCTCCGCCCTCCTCAACTCCACCGCCGAGGTCACCGTCTCCGTCAACGGCAAGACGCAGAAGGGCAACTGGACGTCCATCCCCGACGGCGGCAAGGGTGTCTACCACGGCAGCGTGCCCTTCACCGAGGGAGGCGACGTCGTTGTCACCATGACCAAGTACGGCATTGAGATTGCCAAGATCGAGGGCAAGAAGATCCTGACGGATTGCCCTGATGGTCTGACCAACTGGAACGCCTGGGTTGGAAGCACCGAGGCGCTACATGTTGACGACCCCAACCCCACGCCGACGCAGACTGGCGATGGCCCCAAGAGCACTGCCTCCAGTGACGATGACTCTGCTGCTATGTCCTTAAGTCAAAGTCGTAGTCTTGTGTATGTGGTTGTCGCTCTGGTGAGTCTTGTTGTTGCCGGCGTGGTGTGATTGAAGGATGAGAAGAAATGAAGGATATGAAAATTGAATGAGGTCGTACAAAGACGACGACGCAGGTTCAGAAGTTTGGAAGATTTGGTGGGCGCTTTGGATGATACCCCTGTAAGAGATAGATACCCGATGGCGGATTGAATTTGAGCGTGGGCTTGGTAATGACTTATTGTCGGCTCTCACAAACCGCGGGCCTGTTTGACAGTTAACAACAAACACCCAGGCTACATGGAGAGATTTGGCTACCATGTGTATTACGTCGATTGTTATTAGGTTTAGAAATTCGCTTCTTATGATTTCCAAGCCGTATCATTAGCCATGAGACAAATTCATGACTTCCGGCGGCTGGTAAAAAGCTTGCGTGCCTATACATGATGCACAAAGATTACGAAGGAGCCTTCAATCTAGATTGTATAACGATATCAAGAAAACCAAAGAGGCCGACACTCACTCAGTCTCAAACCCCACCAGACTTCACGTCCAAGATGTCTGAGACGTGCTTCAGCGTTAGTGTCTTCTTCAGAGAGAATGCGCCTCCCGGTCGTCCCCGTCATCGTCCATGCCCTCGCCCGGTAAGCTAGAAACTTCCGCCTGAACAGCAAAACCCGGAAACGAGCCCCCTAACGAAAACATTATTTGCGACAATTCGCCTAGTCTTAGAGGCCGATAGTTTGGCCGTGATAAAACAAAAGGCCAGAGGCCGCTTGCAAAACACACGATCTCATAGACAGAAACGGAAATCTGATTCATTCAAGCTCTGATGTTGGACCTCAATTCATTGATAACCTGATATTTTCGATGGGCACGTTTGAGGACTGCAGGCATAGCAAGTGACTAGAATTAATTGAAGACTGGCATGTTTCAAACTTGTCGTGACCCTCTCATCACCCCCATTCACTGCAATTTCATCACCCACAGAGGGTACATGGTGCTCGCAAGGCTGGAAAGGTTTGTCACCAGTCGCAGGACGATATGCTACTCTCTTAATTTTCGGCCCACACAGTGATCAAATGGCATTGGCATAATATCGCAGTCTATCTTGCTCCCAAAGTCCGCCGGTACGTGACGTTATCGAGTCCGGATATTCCAGTGTTCCGTTCCCTTGCAAAGACGCACTGGCAAAGAACTTCTCTCATTTCACCGATTGGACGACAAACAAAGCATGGTCAGCAGTGCCCAACTTTCTTGCATGAGATTTGTGTGCCATTTTGATCCCCGTCCGCCGCGTCCGCATGAGCACTGCAATTTTGACCCCCCCCAGAGGCATGGCTCAGCCTCGGTGAGAGCCACTCACCGAGACGGGGATCATGCAGCATCCATGCAGCGTAGGATTCAAGGTTCCGGCAATCCAGCTGCCTTTCCGGGACTAGATAAGATGCCGACCTCCACGAAAAGAACATGCGGTCCATGCCTCAAACGGGGCTTGGACGTCATCCGATCTCGCTTCTCTCATCTCATCGTCAAGCTCCAGACTCCTCCTCATGTTCGATCTCTCACTCAATTGATCGTGACACCATCGCATATTTGCCATTGATCGTAGTGACAAGATGCACTGGCTCACTCCGCTCATCGCAGCGGCGGCCTTCCTCGGGGATCCCGTCGTCAGCGACCCCAAGCCAAAGTACAATCCTCTCCCTCCGCTCCGCGAACAAGCCCGGGTGCAAGATGCCTGGACCGAGGAGCGTAAAGCCACGATCCCAACCTTGCTCAAGAAGCATGGAGTCGATGCATGGCTGGTATGTCAACGTCTCATCCATCCTCTTCACCAAGCTATCTAACGAATCCGCAGATAAGCCAGCGCGAATACGCCGAGGAGACAGTCTTCTGGTCCCTCAAACCAGCAACAACATTCTCCGCCCGCCGTCGCACTACATGCCTCTTCCTCGCCGAGCCCCTCGCCCTCCCCTCCTCCCTATCCAAACAGCCGGGCTGCATCGTAGGCTGGACCACCGACGTCTGGGAGATCCTCAAAGAGCAGCTCGAGGCAGCCAACCCCGCCACCATCGCCATCAACGCGCACCCCGAGATCGCCTTCGCGAGCGGCCTGCACGCGGGCGAGTACCAGGCCATGGCGAACGGCCTCGGTGGGGCGTGGACGAGCAGGATGGTGGTCAAGCCCGAGATCGCGGTCGAGTTCATCGCGGCCCAGCCCAGGTCGAAGCTGCCGCAGTACCGCGAGATCATGGAGACGGCGTGGGCCATGGTCGCGACCGCCTTCAGCGCGGAGGTCGTCGTGCCGGGGAAGACGACGACGGGGGACGTGGAGTGGTGGTTGCGGGAGGAGATCCTGGCGCACAACTTCTCGACGTGGTTTCAGCCGAGTGTCAGTGTTGTCGACGAGGCGCTGCCGTGGGTGATGGAGATAGCACGCGGCGTGGATGAGGGGGCGGGTGGGAGGATCATTGAGTATGGGGATATGTTGCACGTCGATTTCGGGCTGTCTGCGATGGGGTTGAATACCGATACGCAACATCTGGGATACGTGCTGCGGCCGGATGAGACGGATGTCCCGGAATCGCTCAAGGAGGGTTTGAAGAAAGGGAACAGACTTCAGGATATTGTGAGGGAGACCATCACAGTCGGCCAGACGGGAAATGAGATGCTGAAGACGTCTCTCAATCAAATGCACAAGGAGGGAATCCAGGGACGTGTCTACACTCACCCCATAGGAGACTGGGGCCATTCTGCTGGTCCATTAATCGGTAAGTCGACGCCTGAACTTGACTAACAATGACTAACCCTCGCCAGGCATGACGAACATGCAGGACTATGTGTCGGCATCCGGCGAGCTGGCTGCAGTCAGGAATATGTGGTTCAGCGTCGAGCTGCTCGTGGAGCACTACGTCCCTGAACGAAACCAGACACTCTGGTTCGCTCTGGAAGAGGATGTCTACTTCGCTGGCGAGGAAAAGGGCTGGCAGTGGGTATACGGGCGGCAGGAGGAGTTCCACCTGGTGAGAACAGCAAAGAAGCAGGAAGCGATTGAAGAATTGTAAACCGAGTCACATAACAAACGGACGTATTTCAAAAGGTCCAATGACCAAAAGGGGAATCTATCATGATTGCTTTTTAAGTGCCCGTATTTACAACGAATTCCGCTCCCATCCCTTTTACGCCTTTCCGTTCTCCTTCTTGACAGGCGGCAGCAGGCTCCTCGTCAGCTGTCTCGCGTGCTGAGCCATGAGCGCGTCCATCAGCACAATGGCCGCCATACCCTCGACAATGGGGATAGCGCGGGGCACAACACAGGGGTCATGACGGCCCTTGGCGGCCAGGACACCCTCGCTCTCACCGTCGTAGGTCGCCGTCGTCTGGTCCTGGCCGATGGTGGCGGGGGGCTTGAAGGCGATGCGGAAGTAGATGGGCGCGCCGTTGGAGATGCCGCCCTGGACGCCGCCGGAGTAGTTAGTCTTGGTGGTCAGCTTGGAGCGCGGGATACCCATGCGCTGGCCCTCGGCCTGGATCTCGCTCTCGGGGGTCTTGACGAAGGCGTCGTTGTGCGTGGAGCCGGGGATCTCGCAGCCGCCGAAGCCGGAACCGATCTCGAAGCCCTTGGTGGCGGGGATGCTCATCATGGCGTGGGCCAGCTCGGCCTCGAGCTTGTCGAAGCAGGGCTCGCCGAGGCCGATGGGCGGGTTGCGGATGACGCAGGTGACGGTGCCGCCGATGCTGTCCTCGCGCTTCTTGAAGTCGCTGATGCAGTCAATCATCTTCTCGTTTGTCTCCTCGTGGGGGCAGCGGACGGGGAGGAACTCGTCGACGGTCTTGCGGTCGATGGTGTTGAGGAGGGAGAGGAAGGCGGGGTTCGTGGACGGGGTCGGGTGCTCGGGGGTCGGGGGGAAGAGGTGGACGTTGCCGACGCTGGTGGTGAAGGCGGTGATTGTTGTGCCGTAGGCCTCGCGGAGGTACTTCTCGGCGACAGCGCCGGCGGCGACACGGGCGATGGTCTCGCGGGCGGAGGAGCGGCCTCCGCCGGAGCTGGCCTTGACGCCGTACTTCTCGAGGTAGGTCCAGTCGGCATGAGACGGGCGGGGGAACATGTCCATGGTGGAGTTGCCGTAGTCTTTGGGACGCTGGTCCTCGTTCTGGACGATCATGCCGAGCGGGGTGCCCAAAGTGACGCCGAACTCGGTGCCGCTCTGGATGACAACGCGGTCCTTCTCGTTTCGCGGGGTGGTGAGGGCGCTCTGGCCGGGGCGGCGGCGGTTCAGCTGGGGCTGAACATCGGACTCGGTGAGGGTCAAGCCGGGCGGCACGCCGTCGACGATGACGCCGACAGACTTGCCGTGGGACTCGCCGTAGCTGTTTGGCGAAAAGGTTCAAGTTAGTCCATTGGCCATTGAAGGGTTCATATCGGACGCGACGCACGTCGTGACCTTGAAGTAGTTGCCGAACGTCGACATTTTGGAGGTTTGGTGGTGAAGATTGGGAAAATCTGGGCCGATGTTCGGTGAGTCAAGCCAAAAATCCAAAAAGAATTCGAGTCGTCCGATGCGGGGTGGAGGGGTTCGTTTGCTTTATACGCATGGCCCCGGTAATGAGGTGGGGCTTGGCTTTACAGGGATCATGTCGTTGATGAGGGAGAAATTCTGATAGATGCAACCCTCAACCTCATCTCAACACTCACTCATCCTCGTGTTGACGACTCATCACAGATCACGGTAAGTGACTCATTCAACTCCATATTTTCCGTGGAATTCTAATGAATGTTACAGGCTAAAAATCCACTTGCTCGTGCCACAAAGACGATCCACCTCGGTCAACCTTCACCGAACGCTAAGCACGCCCCGAGACACAATGTTATTGTCATAAGCATCGGACTCATCCCCTACCACCGTCACCATGTTCGCCGCTCGCCCGGTCTTCAGGACCTTGAGCCACATCAAACACCAACCAAACCTCCGCGCCTTCTCAGCCCTCGCCGCAAACCCCTCCTCAAAAACCCAAGTCTACATCTCCAACTCCCGCTCGCCGTACATCAACCTCTCTATAGAGCACCACCTCCTTCAGACAACACCATCCGACTCCAACGTCCTCTTCCTCTACACCAACCGCCCGAGCATCGTCATAGGACGTAACCAGAACCCGTGGCTCGAAGTCAACCTCCCGCTTCTGCAGTCCCTAGACCGCAGCCAAGATGCCATCGACCTCGTCCGCCGCCGCAGCGGAGGCGGCACCGTCTTCCACGACGAGGGAAACGTGAACTACTCCGTCATCTGCCCTCCCGCCAACTTCGACCGCGACAAACACGCCGAGATGGTGTGCCGTGCGCTTCACAAGCTGGGCGTGCCAGACGTGGCCGTCAACTGTCGACACGACATCGTCATGACCACGCCCTCAGCAACCCCCATCCCCTTGTCGTCTTGCTCGGGGAAACCCCTCGCGAACGCGGAAAACACATACAAGATTTCCGGGTCGGCGTACAAACTCACCCGTCTGCGCTCCCTCCACCACGGAACCTGTCTCCTTTCCTCCCCGAACTTGCCACGCATCGGCAGCTTTCTCCGCTCGCCGGCGGAGCCGTTCATCAAGGCTCGCGGTGTTGAAAGCGTACGCTCGCGTATTCGCAATGTTGGCGTCGAGGATACGAGGAAGTTTGAGGAAGCGGTGGTTGAGGAGTTCGGAAAGATGTACGGTACTTTCGACGTGGAGGCACGGCTAGGAGAAGAGGCGGGACAAGTTGAGAGCGTGAAGAAGGGGATCAAGGAGCTCGAGGCAAGTTGAATATCATGAGAACTCAGCGTCATATTGCTTTATTTATGAGCGAAGCCATTAGCTAACGGTATTCACATTGCAGTCGCGAGAATGGATCTACGGCCAGACACCACTTTTCACCTTCTCAACGCACCCATCAGAAGAAGATGGCAGGGAACGCCCTGAACTACCCGGCAAGGTAAGGCATATGCCTCGCCTCTCACAACGTTACGGGCATTGGTCAGTTTCATGGGGCTAACGAAAGTATTTAGTTCAAACTCTCATTCGAATCTCGTCACGGCCTCATTCAACAATTCGCCCTTGAAGGGCTCTCGTCTGCTCAGCCCCAGACTCTCTCCGAGTCCATGATCAACTCTCAGATCTGGGAAATAGACGACTGGACGCGGCGACTGCGTGATGGCGGCCTAGATGCAGGTGATGCTTCAACAGTTGGACCATGGCTGAACTCTCTGCTCGGCAAGAGACAGGTGTAGGAACAACGGGCTTCGAGGCCTGCTGAGCACCTGGAACTTGCGAGGCGACAAGCCTCACATCACACATGCCGAGATTTAGGCCTGTTCGTTGCCGTCCGCACGCGTATCTGCCAACTCAGCTACCTAGTTGACGAGGCGGATGCCTGGAAGATCAGTGATCGGTCAAAGATCCCGAATGCTCGCGAGGATCGACGGAGATGAAGTTGCTCCCAAGTCCAACTCAACAAGAACACAGATACAATTTGCGTCGAGGCGTCATTCAGTATCTCTGATAAGCTTGCGGAGAAGCCGGGGGTTGTTAGGCTGTGTGTCGTGAACCAGGTGGATTGTGACAATCCTTGGACATCATCCCATAGACATGTAAGATATGTGAAGATCTGGCGATATACCATATAATACAATCCCTAAACATATTAAAGCACTCTCAGATGGCATATTTTGGTTGTATTGAGTAGGTATCTGGCTCTACCGGACTCGAGCATGTCTCCCAACTTCGTCCCAGTTCGCGAGTCTCGCTGACGAACAGCATTCATCATAATATGTGACCCTCTGTTGCCTCATGGGCTATGCGGAAGATACCTAACGGTTAGCCATTTGAGTTTCTTATTTCTAAGCACTTCTAGACACGCAGTTCCAGACGACTGCGCCATTCATCCTCAACTTCGCACGCAAATTCACACATGTCTTTCTCAAACCCCCAACCAACATCGTCATCACAAGCCAACGCCAATATCACAATTCCAAAAAGGAATTCGAATCACCCCGACCATGTGAACCCTCTGTCTCACGGAGAAAGAGGCAAAAGCGTACCCCTAGAGGAAAGAGGAACATCAAGCACCAGGGCCCTTCCTTACCACCTTCCCCGTAAGTATCATCACCAGTTCCAATCCGAGACATCACACTCACTCACCTCAACACTTTCCCAAAGCCACTTCTTTCCCTTCACCCTCCCCCCCTTCCACCGTCCAGCGTCCCCAAATCGGGCACATACCTTCATCTGTTTCTAAATGGCCCCCCCCCCCCCCCCCCCCCCCCCCCCCGATAACCGCCGATTCTACGTTCCAGAGAGACTCTCACATCACGCGCGGGAAGTCGGTGTCACAGCATTGCTCCCATCCCGACATCCAAGACATTCTCTCTCGCTCACTCACCACCTCGAGAGAAACTGAGACAACTAGTCCAGATCTGATAATCCAGACACTACCCACCCATCAAAGAATTCCACCTTTCCCAGACACGGGTTACACAAACCCAGCGAAATGCTGGCCGTTAAAAGACAACAGGTCCGAGTATGGTAACAATTCTCCAAGACATACATATCTCCTCCCTGTTTTTCCTCCGCTCCACTGCCGAAGCGATCTCCGGGAACTCACTCACAAGCATCACCCCGAGGTAGCATTCCTCTTCGCACCCACTCACAAAAAACACATCCCATTTTCGCAACTTTCCCATCACGAGAGATGGCGCGGCCCATGATAAGGGAAGAAGTGGAAAGGAAGGTGGACCGGACCGGGTGTGCTGCGTGAAACATCTCCAATCAGGCAGATCGTCTGTCCCCTCCTGTCTTCGAGCAGCAGACGACGAGCGACGCAAAGAAAGACCACCAGCAAGGAAGAAAGATACCGGATTGTCTCTGCCTCGCCACACTTTTGATTTACCCGCCACAAGCACCGTCTAATTCTCTATCAAGCCCCAGGCAGCGTGCTACCTAGACAAAACGGTCGGTCACCATACCATGCCACACGCCATCCACATCCCCCCTCCCCAAAAGAACGAACGTTGCACCAAGGAAGGCCGTCGCACCAGTCACTGGTCACCCCCGGCCCGGAAACCAGAACAGCAACGTGAACCAAAAAGGCGGAAGAGGAAAAGGAAGAAGAAAAAAGGTGTGGCTGCATACCGCACACCCGTAGCATCACCATCATCATCATCTTCTTCCCCCGTCTCCAACTTCTAAATCCCCTCCGTCGTCATCGGTTCACCATCCATCTCCTAGCTCCCATCCTAGCCTCCTGTGCTACGAGGAAGGCGCAAATAAGAGTGACGCGTGCCATATGCCCTTACGTGACAGACCGGGAAGCCCAAACCACCGGGTTGCGCGTTGGATGGCTTAGACACGAGAACACAGTATTTAGTCACTCACGATCATCTCTCCCTGCCCCGGACGGATGGCTCGCCCTGAACCGAGACATACCGTCAGGAATACCTCATGAGATGAGCACCACAACGTGACGAGGCGTGAAGCCGTCAACACCGTACAAGATAGCATGGTAGTCAGTATGGTGCGGCTTGCGTATTACGATGTGATATTCATCCCCTATCGTCACACGTATCCATCCCTCTGCTCCTCCCCCGACGCCGTTGTCGCCTTCTTGAACAGACACTACCTACCCCTCACAGGATTTCTCCAGCAGCAGGAAGAAAACGAAGATCACCGTTCACGAGCTAGCGAACATGCAGGGACGTGATCGTCCATCCGTCCCCCGCCCAAAAGTCGTTCTTAGGAGAGGATTGGCAGCCAGACAAAGCCCCAAGCACCCCGCCCCCGAAATTTGGGATGACGCGCAGCAGCACAGAACACCTCTTGTCCAGTCCAGACCCCAACCACCAAACCAACAACACCAACACCAAGCGGCGCGCTGTGCTGCATGTGCTGTACTGGGCTGCGCTGATGACCCAGCAAGTTTCCGTCCGGGGTTTGCCCACTAAACCCCCCCCCCCTCCATGAGTCAAAGCTTCCCACCTCGCAGCTTCTTCACCAGACTTCCCCGCGGAAATGTTACTGAATAACAATCACGCTAAGAAAGAGGCATATTACTTTCATACGTAGGCCAAGAAGCAGAGCAAGTCATGCAAACTCGTTGGTCAGACCCAAGCAAACCATCACCTAGCTGCGCCGCAACTACGCATCTCCGGGGCTTTTCGTTCACCTTGGATCTCACGGTCAGCAATGAACGTCACCCCCAGTCTGCCCAGGCAGGCGCGTGTCACACCGAAAACCCCGCCGGCGCCCTCACCTTTTCCCCTTCTAGTCGCCGCTCGCGTCCCCATCACACACATCCTTTTTTTTTTTTTTTCCTTCTGCGAGCTCATCCGTGATAGATGACCAACTCGTCCTGCTCGACCAATCCCCTCTCAAAACCCCGAGACATTGGAGAGCCGAGAGAGGGGCGGGTTGCGTCGGGTGTTTTGAGCCCAGAGTGAGAAATGCGGAG